TGTGTCCGTGGCCAATGGGCTCGTCTAGGAATAAAGAGAAACTTTGGAGATGCAAGAGGCTAGATAGGGTGTCACATATTTCCCAGAGTCGCGCAAATGCATCCGATGATGCGATGCTAAAGCCCATCAAGTGGTTCTCGGTGAGCTGGATAGCAATGGATTGAACGAGATGAAATTGGCGGCACTGCTTCGCGAACTGAGAAACTGGAGAATCTTCGTCGAGTGCCGAGGCTAATGATATGGAGTTGTATAGAATAGAAGTGGCAGGACCGCGCCATGAACGGCTGCATAGCATGACATTGAGCAGATCGCGAGAGGAGAGTTTAAGATACTCGAAGATGTCGAGCAGTATTTCGTTCGGAAGTTTTGCAATGTATGCCATTTCTAAAAAGAGTTGGGGAGCGTGGCTTGGGTGTAGAGGTCAGCGATGGGATGCATAAGGTGATCGTGAAAAGTGAGTGTGACTGTTCGCCAACGTGGCTAAAGTTGGGAGTGATTACATTTATGAGAAATCGAAGGCGTTTTCATTACAGTTGTCTCCGCGCCCAATTCAGAAAAATCATGCATTTTGGAATTGAGGTGCAGGAGTGGGCGATGGCGTGATTGCCACAGGGAGAGTAGAATGCGGGGGGCGGTTCAGCACCCCATCAAATCCTTTAATCACACAATTTTGCACTGCAATGCGACCAAGGACTTGTATTAGGTAATAAATCTTTTATGTGAAGTAGAGTTTTGAATATGTCGACTTATTGGACCCGAAAACTTGGAATCGTAAAAGAAATCTCAGCATAAGAAAACAAAAATTACAGATGCCACAGCTCATAGCTTCTCCAAACAGCACTCCTTCCCAACCAACACCGATGCTTCATTCTTTGTTGAAGGGACGTCGATGGCGGGATTCGCATTAAAGAAGTCAGAGGGCTTGAAGTGGACCTGGAAGATTTCGCTGGGCATGACCGGCCAGTCTTCGACCCTGTGGAAACAAAATCAGTCATCGCTTCATTATATTTTCGGCCAATCTGACTTACCTAGGGTTGTGCGTGAGACCAAATGTGTTCCAAATGACCAAATCCTCATTCGTCACCTCTTCGTTACGTTTCACCATATCGTGTACACCTCCAACTTCGAGCTGCGACTGAAGCGTAAAGCGCCCAGCAGCATAAAGCTCGTCATCTCGGTACTTGGTGACCCAGACATGGTGATTAGTAAAAAGCGCTCGCTGAGCCTGGATGGATCCTGGGGCCGCGAGCAACTTTTGCGTTGGTGGAGGGACGAATTTGTATCCCACGGGATTACCGCTGAGAGGATTCCGTTTGTTTGGATTGATAATCTTGAACGTCCGATTGTGTTCTGGTGCGGCATCATGTCCAGAGGATCGGTTCACGACCGTCTTGCGGATTTCATAAAAGTTTCCGTTGGGATTGGTGACTTTATCCCAGGGAGCTGAGTGGGATTCCTCGTGAAGAACTGTGTTGTTGTGTCCGTCAATGGCAGGATCAATTCCTACAATCATTCAAATCAGTATAAGAACTCTCTAGTAGCACCACGCTCAACATACTGGTTGCAAAGATGTGCTGATGGTTCTGTGCTAGAACACCACCAGACACAACGTTTCCGTAATCAGACGTCTTTCCTGGATCGATGTTGACCACGCTCACAATTCCGGTTGCGCGGACCTCGATGGTGATACCTCCTGCAGTGTCGAGCTTGTACGCAAAGACATACTCATAATTAGCAAGCGTGATGATGAACTGAACTACAAGCTCCCGCATCCGACTGACAACGGCACGGCCTGTCCTCCAGTTGGTGTGCTTCCATCCGATTCCGTTGTCTTGCTCATGCAAGCAAACTACGTTTGGATGTACTTTTGGCTCTCCATCAGATCCTACAATAACAGCGTCGAAGTATTTGATAACGCCGAGGCAATCACATCCCAGAGAGAGGTTGTTGGCACAATTCCCTGCACCTCCGTCTCCGAAGTCGAATGCCTGCTTCCGGTGGAAGGGGGGACGCGGATCTCCATAAGGTACTGTCATCTCGCTGATACTCAGGCGGTAGAGGATACTCCTTCCATCGTAATGAACGTCATGGAGAACGGCACCTTCTCTAGGGTTGAATGATACTCGGAATCGCCACTTCTGCCACTCGACTAGAGACTCATCAGTGACTTTGAAAGAAGGACCCTCTGGCTGTGTGATGTTTATGGGTTTGAGATCCTTCCGTGTACCTCCTGGCAATAGTTCCGGGACGTACTCGGCAGACTGGCAGTGGTCGACGATATGCTCTGAGTGAGTCTTGCCGGTGAGCGAGTCTCCCTTGCCACCAGTTGCGAGTCTATCAATTCGGATGATTTCTTTCTTGTGGGCGTCCAGGATGGGAATCAAAGGTAGCGGGTAAGCATAAAAGTTGCTGTCGGGATTTCCACTTCGGGTGTCCTGGGCAAAGCAAAGTCCCTGAAAGTATCTTCGATTTTCTGAGCCAAGATCAAGTCCTCCGTACGGCCTGGCGTTGTGTCAGCTAAGGTGAGCCTAGTCTAGAGAAAGGAGTACATACCATGGTTCTACGACTAATTCAAAGCCCTCAGGCAACTTGAATTCGGCAATCGCTTTCTGGAACTCATCCGACCTCTTGCAAGCCTCAACCAAGATTTCAAATTCCCAGAGGGTCAACGACGCTTGATGCTCCTTGCCAATGACCTCGTGTCTAACACGCTTCTTGAGGCCGATATCCACAATGGACTCGTGGTATTCAGGAATCTTGTCTGAGCCAATGATGTCGTATTGACATTTGGCCAATCGTGATGGTCGTTTCGAGGTGGGAGACTGTCCGGGCTTGGAAGAATGTTCAAGATCGAGAAATAGCTTCATACCCTCCTTTTCTGGCTCCTGAAGGAATATTTCTCTAAAGTCGACGACGACATCGGGGTGTTGGGCAAGGACGACGTCCCGGGCTATCCGCGTCTCCTCGATGTTCAGCGTTTTGAAGGGATGAGGTGCCATGTTGGGCTTTCGTAAGAGGACGGAAGAATGTGTATTAGACCGTCTGTTTCTTTGATCAAGCTCGAAAGATATGTGACCTCGACAATATTGGGTCCTTGTAAAGGAGGACACTCGGTGTACAGCAAAGTGGAAGAATGAATCAAGGAGCGCCAACAGTAGGATACTTCCGCTCTTATATGCCGACCAAGAGAAGTGGGGTCCATTGCAATAGACGCCAATTCCGCGAGAGGTGGTTGAATCGGCCCGCAGAAGCTACTTCGTAGGAGCCATAGACCTAGATGTCTAGGAAAAGGTTGCTTACCAGTGTCGGTTGGACATACTTCTTTCGAGCCGATGCGATAGCTATCGCGCATTACAAGAGGCCCGCGGCCCCCTGTTCTTCTTATCTGATGTGAAATAGATATTGTTATTTATTATACAGCTAGGCCACGTGAATACTTTCACTACGATGAACGGTTCCAAGGCAGAGTGGAGTCCGCATGGACTTGCCTCTTTGAGTAAGACTGGATCTCCGCACCACAACCTGGAGCTCACCCACTTAAACGAGTGGAATGCCAATCGAAAGCCAATGGAGAGTCCTATTACTATCTATGAATTATAAGGCTCTTCACCTTGTTCAAGATATAAGTTTATCTCATTATCGAATTGAGCTATGTTTATCCTCCGAAAAAAATCTAAAGGCGCGGAACAGTGCGGAAAGTGTTCCGCGATCGCGCTATGCACGCGTCGTCTATGCAGGTCCTGTACATGTACTTCCTAACGCAGCGTCTGTATGAATCACATCTTTAACTTCCCTGTATCAAAGTGAATGGAACAGATAGCATTACTTTTTCGTAATCTGGTGTCAAACGCCTGACAACGTGCATCGCAACTACCGAGCGAGCAAGCATTTTTGAGGAAATGGTCAGGAGGAGAGGTCGGTCTCGCCCTACAAAGCGCTGTCATGTAGATCAGAGAATATCCAGACCATAGAAAGCGCGAGTCTCAATCGTGGTAGTGAGAATCGGTAGTTGTCTAGGCTGCTCTGTTGCATCCTTGACTTGCACGGGGACGGAGCACCTGGACTCCGTCCCCGTAATCCCCTCCAAAACCCCCCAGATAGAAAAACACACAGTGACAAGTAGAAAATACTAAGAGGGATGGTAACGGCTCAGAAAAATCGGCCACTGCTCGTATTTGGCATATTACCACTTGTGTCCCTTCCAAGAATTCCTTGTGTTGTCAGTAACAAGATGAAAGCGGTCACAGTTGCTGGGGTACCAAATCAGAATCGACTATATTAGTAGCACACGTGAAAATCCACCAAAAGCAAAATCAGCCTATGTCTGAATGTCGTTCTCGATCCATAGGCAGAAGAAATGCCAATTTCCAGGCTCGTTGAGTTGCCTTGACATCCCACAAACGTTCTCCAACATGTCCCCGGTCTCATGAAATAGATACTTCGTAATAAATGCCTCTCGGCTTGCATATATCGAGAGGAATCTAGCACACGGGAGAGTTTTAAAGCAAATGGATGGCGCTTGACATGCGGTTAAAGTCGTTTGATCATCTTGAGGGGGGCTTGGAAAATTCTCCCCTCAGCCCTACGGAAATGATTCGAAGACACTACGGTATAGCAGTAATCAACGAAGCAGTGATTGAGACTGCAGCAAAAAGAGCAAATACGTAGTGAACTGTCTCGACGCTCAAAGGTTATAGACTGTGGCTTTGATGGCCCTCGTGACTTGATTGGTCCGCACGACGCTAGTGAGGAAAAATCGCCGGCGCACGAGCGCAATGATTGGCCGTTTCCATCTTAGACCTAGTCCCAGATGAGCGTCTTTGCGAGACACGGGCCAGAATCCAACAACACAAGAAATGAGATTTTAGTGCTTACCACCCCTTGACCCGTTATAGAGTGCAGGACGGCATTTCCATATATACATTTTTCAGATTCAAGTTACTGTATATATAATAAACTATTTAGCATTCTACACATAAGAAGATAAAAGGAATCATCTCGCATCGGTGGTTTAGTGGTAAAATTAGCCGTTGCCAAGCGCAACATCGGCTAGCCCCGGGTTCGATTCCCGGCCGATGCAATATCTGAACACCTTTTTTTTGGTGGAAATTCAGAATGAATGTTTTGGGGATTTCAAGGTAGTTTTTGGGTGAGGGGGGTTTTTTTTGGCATGTGCGCGCGCCGAAATAACGTTACTCGGCAAGGGAGCTGCGCATGCAAGTGAGCTGCGCACCTTGAAAATACACCAAAAATTTGACATTTTGCAGCAAGCTATCTTAACAACTACGCAATAACAA